GGATTACCCCTTAGGATTGATAATTTTTTGTGATAATTGTGATTTGTGGAAGCCGTGTACGCAAGGTGACGAATGTTTACACGGGCTAAAAGTGGAAATTCACCGGTTTTAGCCATGTAGATTCCTTTCATGCGATTCGTCAACACGGGCTAAAAGTGGAAATTCACCGGTTTTAGCCATGTAGATTCCTTTCATGCGATTCGTCAACACGGGCTAAAAGTGGAAATTCACCGGTTTTAGCCATGTAGATTCCTTTCATGCCTTAATTGAGCTATCTTAACATGTTATATTCATCATCATTAGTCTATTTTCGCATGTTCTACTTGTCTTATCTCTTACTTGTTAATTGCTCTACATGTTTAGTTGAAGTTCTTGTTTCCTTTATTCCATATTTATTATGTAACGATTGAATTCTCTACTTGAAGTTGTTATTCTTGGAATATCTTGTTGTTAAAATTGGTAGCGAGGTATAAAGGTCGTGATTCACATTAAGGCAAAGTGTTAAGTTGTGAAATAATATTCTTGTTGAGTTATTCACTTTCGATTATTATTGTTGAGACTCTTGTGTACATTATGATTGAGCCATGGGCTATTTATTGTGAAAACACTGTTGTTGCTGATTTCTTTGGCATAATGTGATATTGGGCACTTGAGGTGCGATTTGTGATACGTTGTGATATTGATACGCATGCGGTGGTATAAGGTTTTGGGGTTAAAACACATACGGTGAGATAAGGTGGTCTTGATACGTGTGTTGCTAGTAGGGGAACTACTTGAAGCCACGCGGTGCGATAAGGTGGGCTAAAACGTGGGTTGCTATTTCGGGAAAAATAATTTTCAAAACTAAATACAAGGCTCCCGCGGTGATATAAGGAAATATTGTGGAAATATTTTTGTGATTTGAGACTACGAGGCAGTACCTCCATCGGGACTCTTGTTGGTATTTCTCTATTGCTTCACTTGTGTTAGGTTGTTTTGTTTCCTTGACTTAACATTTCTTGTTTTCTTCCGTGGTGCATTATTTGCCTTGATTCTGTGTAGTTAAGCTTTGCATATTCCTTACTTGTTTCATTTCCATTATTATTATTATTACACCGTTAAATTATTCGTCATGTTTCTTATTTACTCCAGTCGGGCTTGGCACTTACTACCCTACCAAGGTTAGGCTTGGCACTTACTGGGTACCATTATAGTGTACTCATGCAATGCTTCTAGACATCTTTTTGTGTAGATCCAGGTACCTCCTAGCAGTCCAGGCACTAGCGAGAGTTTAGCTTCAGAGACTTCAAAGTATACCTGCATGCGTCCGCAAGCCTCGGAGTCCCCCTCTACCTAGACTATTTTATTTCCTTAACCTTTTATAGACACTGATGTAAAGGGATATTCAGAACTACTATATAAAGCTTGTGACTTGTATTCGCCGGGTTTTGGGGAGTTGTTGTGTTTAATTGCGGAGTTTCCTTCATATTATGTCGAGTTATTTAGACTTTAATCATTATTTCAGTTATTTCTGCATGAATGTTAGGCTTACCTAGTATTAGACAGTAGGTGCCATCGCGACATCCTAGGAGAGAAATTGGGGTCATGACAGATACATCCAACAAAGATAAGATGGACCCCCAAGCTTAATTTTATTCACCAAATGAATAGACAAATGTGGCATTATGTCAAGAATTGTTGGATGGAAAATCTTTTCAAGCTCGCATGTTATTTCAGCAATTTAAGACTGCATTTTTTCAAGATCTCTTTGACTTATGACCTAACTACTTATAGCTCTAAAGAAATTGCCAAACCAAGTCAAGGCCAATGGAACATTTTTGGGCAACACTTTTCTAACAACAACCTGGAGCAAGTAATGAATTATAAAATTGTCACACCCCGACCTTAGGTAGCGCAACCAGCGCTCAACCGAGATATCCCAGTCAAGCAAGCCTACTTGATGCCTTCCACTTAACTTTACTGCAATGACCTAATCCGTCATTTTGTGTAATTGTGTCCCGTTACCCCTTATATTGCTTCACACTTGTGTGTTTATGCCTTTATGACTTGCGGGGTTGATTAGTTTCATTCCGGAAAGCTTTCAGGTTTATTTGGACCCTTGATTCTTGAATTAGAAGTTTAAATTTGAAAATGTTGACCAAACTTTGACTTTTGTGAAAATGACCTCGAACTGTATTTTTATGATTCGGACTTGGGCGTATGCCCGGAATTGATTATGGAAGTCTATAGGTTGATTTGTGTTTATTTATAAAAATTTGGCAATATTAAGTTGAAAAGTTTGACCGTAGGCTGACTTTTAGCTATGGAGCTCAAAATTTAATTTTGGGACTTGGAATACGACCGGCATGGCATTTAGAACTTGTCTGCAAAATTTGGTGTCGTTTGGAGTTGATTCGATAGGAATCAGGCGAAAAGTTGTAATTTTAGAAGTTCTTGGAAATTTCATTGAAATTCAAGCATTTTAGAGTTTAATTCATAGTTTTAGATGTTATTTTTATGTTTTGATCATGCGAGCGAGTGCGTATGATATTTTTAGACTTGTGTGGATGTTTGGTTTGGAGCCCCGAAGGCTCGGATGAGTTTCGGACATGATTCGGATAGTTTGGACTAAACATTTGTAGAAATCTAGTAAGTGGTGCTCTGGTGTCGCAATTGCGAACACCAAACTCACAAATACGAAGGCGACAGTAGGGGGGCTAATGTTGCAAATGCGACCACCCCTTCACATGTGCGAAGAAATCAAAATCTAGGCAGAGTTCACAATTGCGAACAAATGTTTGCATTTGCGATAGTTCCAGCTTCGCAATTGCGAAGCCTTTATCGTAATTGCGATGAAGTACAAGGCTATCGGGGTTCGCAAATGCGAGCCTTGGTAAGCAAATGCGAGCCCTGGTACGCAAATGCAAACCCTGTGTCGCAAATGTGACATCTACAGCTGGTTAAAGGGTTGGGAGACGATATTTTTGAACTCATTCTCACATATTTCATATCCTTTCATGCTTCCTTTTGTTTTTGGCCACAAATGTAAATCATCATTCTTGGCACGATGGCCACATTTCATAATTCATACTTTTTTCCCTTCACTTCCTTTCAAGAATCAACTTAAAACATTTAAGGATATTTGAAACATTGAGAAAAGAATCATATTTTCAGCGCATAAGCATATAGGAATTAAAAACACATTGGGATTAAGCATAAAAGAGGTGCATAGTGTTATAAAATTGGAACAGAACATGAATCAAATCATAAGTCTTTGGATAAGCTACCACAGAACAAACTAAAATGATGGAAATAAGTACTTGATCAAACCATAACCGAAATTTATGAGAGCTTTGTGGAATCTTATTCTACATAAAGAGTTTAGCCAATATACCTCGCTTGAGCTTTTCTTAGATTACTACAATGTTCCAAAACTCCTAGAGACTTCAATCTATTAGATATATCACAAAGTTGAACCATAATTAGGAAAGGGTTCATAAGTTCAGCTCATTTAGGCATTTCATCAAGCACTAGGTGTGCAAATTTGATTACAAGGTTCTCTCATAGTATTTCCTTCACCCTACAATCAATATCAACCAACAATTTCTCCCGGTTAATTAAACAACCACCAATATACCTCTATCAATACATGCATGTCCCTTTTTACATCTTTGCAGAGCCTGGGTGTATGGAATACCGGAAACTATGAGCCTCGGTCTTGATTCTCTCCTAGAGACCCTCCATGTTCGAAACACACAACTTCCCTTAGCACCTTAGCGTGCCATCATTCATGCACAGAGAAAAAGTCATGGTTTTATATTTATGAATTCCCTCATTCAGCTGCACCAATAACGGATCGTCTTATTGTTTCTCATTGACTTCTACTACGAGTGATGATTCAGCCCTATTTTTGCAGAATCACCCCGCTTTCGCTAGAGTCCGTAAGGTGAACTCCCAAAATAGCCAACTGGTGAACTTTCTTGGCCAATGACCTTTGATATGCCCCCAATTGAGCCAAACTACCCATAGATTTCCGGCTAAGAGCATCTGCCACAACATTAGCTTTCCTCGGATGATATAGAATATCGATGTTGTAGTCCTTGAGTAACTCAAGCCATCTCCATTGCCTTAGATTCAACTCCTTCTTCTTGAAGATATATTGAAGACTCTTATGGTCCGTGAATATGTCCATTTGGACCCCATACAAATAATGATGCCAAATCTTCAATGCAAACATCGCCACCACAAGCTCTAAGTCATGTGTTGGGTAATTCTTCTCATGGTTCTTGAGTTGCCTGGAAGCATAAGCGATCACCTTTCCATGTTGCATTAACACACACCCAAGTCCAACCCTTGAAGAATCAGTATACCACAAACCCAGTCGTACCCTCTAGTAGGGTCAAAACCGGTGTCGTAGTCAACCTTGACTTCAAATCCTGAAAGCTCTTTTCACTTGCATCTGACCACTGAAATTTAGCTGCCTTCTGCATCAATTTGGTCAATGGAGAGGCAAGAGAAGAGAACCACTTTACGAATCTTCTATAGTACCCACCTAGGCCCAAGAAACTACGAATCTCAGTTGGAGTTGTAGGACTAGGCCAATACTTCATAGCTGCAATCTTCTGAGGATCGACCTTGATTACCTCACTAGAGACAACATGACCAAAGAAAGCGACAAATGCGAGCCAAAACTCACATTTCGAAAACATGGCATACATCTTGTGCTGATATAGAGTCTGTAGAAATGCCCTGAGATGATTGGCGTGGTTCTCTCGGCTTCATGAATACACAAGGATATTGTCAATGAACACTATCACAAAAGAGTCGAGGAAAGGCTTGCAGACACTATTCATAAGATACATGAAAGTTGTCGGAGCATTCATTAGCCCTAAAAACATCACCGAAAACTCGAAGTGCCCATACCAAGTCCTGAAATCTATTTTCAAAATTTCCTACTCCATTATCTTCAATTGGTGATAGCCCGATCTTAGATCAATCTTGGAGAAGTACCTAGCAAGTTGCAACTGATCAAACAAGTCATATATCCGTGGCAACGGGTACTTATTCTTGATTCTGGCATTGCTGAGCTGTCGATAGTCAATACACATCCTCAATGACCCATTTTTTTTCCTCAGAAAGAGAACCGGTGCACCCCAAGGCAACACACTCAGTCGGATGAAACCCTTTTCTAACAAATCATTCAACTGCTCCTTCAATTCCTTCAATTCTAGTGGGTCCATTCTGTTTGGTGGAATTTATATAGGCTGCGTGCCTGGCAATACATCGATACCAAAATCAAACTCCCTGTCTGGTGGGATCCCATGAAGCTCATCAGGAAAGACCTCTAGAAATTCCTTCACAACTGGCATGGACTCGGACCAAATGGTAGATACACCCCTTGATGATCATCTTCGCAACCTCAAGGTAAGAATTAAACCTACCCTTTGGCACAACATCATCCCCTTTCACTCAATGACCTGTTCATCTGGAAACTCAAACCTGACGGTTCTAGTTCAGCAATCAAGCTTGGAAAAACATGAATAAAGCCTGTCCATCCCCATTATCACATCAAAATCAACCATCCCTAATTCAATGAGATCGGCCATAGTGTCTCGAACATGCACCGTGACAACACAATAACTATAAACCCGTGCTAACACAATAAACTCACCAACTAGAGTAGATACAGAGAATGACTCATGAAGTTATTCCGGTTTTATCCCGAATTCCATAGCAACATAAGGAGTGACATATGACAAAGTGGAACCAGGATCTATAAGAGCATATACATCATGAGATTGGATAGTCAATATACCTGTGACAACATCTGTAGAAGCCTCTAAACTCTAGAGACCACTCAAAGCATGGAACCCGCTAGGTCCTCCCGAACTCTGTGCACAACCCCTAGCCGTACCACACCCTGTGTGTGCTGGAGTACCTCTAGCCGAATGAGGTGTTGTGGAAGTTGTGGCTGCTGAACTAGCTGGTGGTACCATACCTATACCAACGCTCTGATGGGATGAATGGCAATTCATCTAAATATGATTGCTAAGACCACACCCGTAGCATACATGACGGTTCATATAGTAGACTCCTAAGTGTATACTTCCACTCCTAGGGCATATGGGACTTTGTTGCGGCAGAAATCTCCCGCCTAACTAACCCTACTGATAAGATCCCATGTTTTTCTAACTAGGCTTGAAATGACTCCACTGCTGCTGAGCTTGCCCTAATGGCGGTGCACCGACTGAAGACAGAGAAAAGGATTGTGCCGGTACAGATGACCCTCCCCTGAATACTGCCCTTCAACCACTACTCCCATTGGAAGAACCACCAAAGTTGCCCGCGGATCGGGCCTTTTTGCTACCCTTTCGCTTCATTCTAGCCTTTAATTTCCAAGCCTCAGTGGCTTGAGCAAATGCCACCATCCTTCCATAGTCCTTGTTATAATTCAAGGCAGTTGTAGCAGCCTCATTGATAACCAAAGGGCTGAGGCCTTGCACAAATCGGTGTACCCTAGCCTCCATAATGAGCAACATGTAAACAACACACTTGGACAGATGTGCGAATCTCATATGGTAATCCCACACACTCATACTGCCTTTCCTTAATTTCTCAAACTCGGCGCCACGGGCTGCCCTAGTCTCGGCAGGCAAGAAATGATCAATGAAAGCATCCGAAAACTCCCTCCATTTTTCTTGTGGGCTACCCTTCTCACGGGACTCCTCCCACAGTTCAAACCATGAATACGCCACCTCCTTAAGGCGATAGGAGGCGACCTCAGCTGCTTCTATTTATGTGGCAGGCATAACATAGAGAGTCTTGTGCATCTCATCAATAATGTCGTGGGGGTCCTTCTAGGGCTCAGTACCCGTGAATACTGGAGGATCCAACTTGAAAAATTGATTCACCCTAGAACTAGCTGAATCCCCTTGCTAGCTAGAGGAAGTAGATGTGGCATTCTGTCACGACCCGTAATTCCCACCCTCGGGACCGTGATGGAGCCTAACCTTTCATTTGCTAGGCAAGACAATGTTAGATATTGTTATTAGCCATTTTAGCAATTCAATTTAAATGAAAACCATAAACTGAAATAAATTAAAATAGAGTGTTTAAACTAAAATACAGCAATATCCGGATACAGTCTCAGAACTATCGTCATAAGTACACGAGCGACTAGAGTACTACAAATAATAGTCTAAATGAAACCATAACTGTCTGAAATGAAATAAACAGCTAGAGTAGTATAGAAGGGGACTTCAGGGCTGCGAACGCCGTGCAGTTTTACCTCAAGTCTCCGTCAAGCACCGGATCCAAGCAATCTACTGACCGCCGCTAGGATCGACTCCAAAATCTGCACAAGAAATGAAGAGTGTAGTATGAGTATAACCGACCCAATGTACTCTGTAAGTGCCAAGCCTAACCTCGACAAAGAAGAGACGAGGCTAACGTGGGTCATTTACAATAACATATACGCAGTATGATGATAATAATAATAATAATAATAGGAAAGGAAAACAGGAAAAGTAAGGCAGTTAACTTGGAAATCAACACAATAACAACAATGAATACAATACACACAATCTGTTGTGGTGCGCAACCCGATCTCACCGTTCAACATACAATCCTTCCTTATTTCACCATATCAATATAGAAAATCACATATACAATTCGTTGCGGCGTACAACCTGATCCCACCATATAATCACAATCAATATCATAATCCTCTTTTATTTCACCATATCACAGTTTATCAATATCAAGTATACGTACACAACCGTTGCGGCATGTAACCCGATCCTATCATATCAATATCGAATTCCTCCCTTTCTTCCACCATATCACAACCGTTGCGGCATGCAACCCGATCCATAAACAAATTCAACAAATGAAATCAATCCAATAACTCAATTCACAAGAATCTCTACGATTAAAGAATGTGAAAGCAAAACAATTAAGGAACCACATACTAATCAAAGGAAGGCTACAAATAATACAGAGCAACAAACAAGCCAAGTATGTAAAAGTTAAAGTGTACAAGTAAGACAATTAAGGCATGTAAAAATTAATTATACAATCATGAAAGGAACGAACATTTCAATACAAGAATAGTTAATGACAAATAACAATTTATGGTGTAGAAAGCAACTAAAGCATGTAACAGTTAAGACATGTAATAAGATAATTCATGAAATGCGAGAAAGCATGGAAACAATTATTTTGACGGAGTATATACACTCATCACCTCACATATACGCCGTTACACACGTAATTCACTTAACATATAGCTCAAGGGTTCCTAATTCCCTCAAATCAAGGTTAGACTCAATATTTACCTCGCTCCGAAATCAAATCTCAATTGGGGCCTTTCCTCTAAAATTCACCTCCAAACCAATCGAATCTAACCAAAATCGACTTAATATTACCAAACAATGCTAGAAAAATCAATTACAATAGATAAAGCAAAGATCTTTACACTTTTCCCAAAAAAGTGAACAAAAGTCAACCCCGGGCCCGCTTAATTAAAACCCGAGATTCGGATCAAAACCCAATTACCCATTCACCCCGAGCCCAATTATGTGATTAGTTTTGAAATTCGACCTCAATTTAAGGTCTAAATCTCAATTTACAAAAAACCACCAATTCTACCTAAATCCCTAATTTTCTACCATGAAAGAGCATATATTAAGGTTAGAAATCAATGGGTGTTGATGAAAATGGAAGAAAACGAGTTAAAATATACTAATGTCATGCCCTGACCTCGAGGAGCGCGACTGAATCTCAATCGAGATAACCCGGTCGAGCAAGCCTGTACAATACCTTCTACCGAACTCACTGATGAATAAAGGAAAGATCCATTTCATTAATTAGACAATGGGGAGGATCATGTGAACAACATCGATTCCTTATCATTAGTTACATCATTTATAAAGTTCAAAATACTTACACTTTCATTGTTTGAAATGGAACGTATTATACAAATACAACATTACTAGTTTGACTTCCCCAACACCAACATACAACCAACGCTATGTCTACGGAGCCTCTAATAGATACAAAAGAGCACGATGATAGTGCCGGCAACAAGGCCCCGGCTATACCTCAAAACATAATACACAAGGAACAAAAGATATACGACCCCGATATGAAGTGGGGCTCACCAAGTCAGCTGGGAAGAGGGTGTGCCACTATCAATGATCAAAGCAGCCTGCTGTGGAACCACCTGCATCCATTAAAAATGCAGCGCCCCCGAAAAAAAAGGGATGTTAGTTCATATGCAATAGTACTAGTATGAATGGCTAAACACCCTCTCAATAGAATAAATGATAACACAGGGAAGGACAATCATAAAATCGATGGGAGCCTCAAACAATACCAAAACATCAAGTTAGGAGCAAGAATATGTTTCAAGTAAATTTTCATATTTTAGGTTGGGAGATCTTAGCACCGATATACTACCGTGATTTTAGCACGGAGTCTGATCACGACCCGATCGGCTAGGCCGTCTCACCCAAAGACATCAACTACAATCACAATCATTATATCAATCTCAATTATTGTTTCAAACATAATCTCAAGCACAATCACCACCATGTATGCGCCATGTCGTCCGATCACGACCCGACCGGCTAGGCCGTCTCACCACAACGTCGTGTGGATTGACATCACCCTTTTCTAGCAATTATCTCGTCCCAATAAAGGGGAATATTTCATCATATAAATCTCATCCCAATAAAGGGAAAAATTCTCATCACATCAATCTTATCCCAATAAAGGGGTACAATCACAATCACTACTAGACCGACACGTGTAGTTTCGGGAGTAGGTTATTTTAACCTACCCTTCCTCGGTGACTAACGATACTCCCAGGGTGTTTATTTATTTAAAGAATTGACAACTCATTTCATTATCTTTTATATATCATTCTTTTCATTAGCACCAGTGGCCATAACACAATGTCACTTTTGGCACGTTGGCCATATTTCATATTTCATGTTCATCTCTTTCACTTTCAAATATCATCACAGATCATCAACAACAAAGTATTTCTATTCAAGTCATTAAGTCCACGTGTGAGCAAATAAGAATGTCACACAATTTGGCATAATATCTTTCATTTGAATCACGACTTGAAGTTATAACATTTAGCTATGCAACCAATGCTTCAAGCACATTTTCAAATAGAACATAACATAACAAGAACATTTGGAATACATATTGAACATAAATCTTTTGACACAAGGCATATTCGAAATAATCAATTTATAAGGAACAACTCGGGACTTACAAGGACATTGTGGGGTTAAATTCTAAGAGAGATGTTTAGCCAACATACCTCGCCTCGAGCTATTTAAATTACTACAATGTTCCGGAATTCTTAACCACTTCGATCTATTTAGAAATATAGCAAAATTGAACACAAATTAGGAAGGAGTTTATGGTTCCAGCTCATTTGAGCATTTTATCAAACACCAGGTGTGCATTAAGGTTTCAAGGTGCTCCTATGGTGGATCCATTCATCCCACTACACAAAGTTTACCGAAATGAGCTCAACAATCTTCCCATTATAGTTGATGGTACATGAATGCATAATGAACAACTCCCATACCCAAGAATTGCTTTTCTCATTACCCATTTCCAATTAAATCCCGCAATTGAAGGCTAAGGAGTAGAATATTACCTCTAGGATGAAGACCTAGTGAGTTTTTCTTATGAATTATTCAACTTTGAGCAAGAGTGAGTTTATGGTTCCTGCTCATCTGAGCATTTTATTAAATACCAGGTGTGCATTAAGGTTTCAAGGTCCTCCTATGGTGGATCCCTTCATCCCACTACCCAAAGTTTACCCAAATGAGCTTAAAAATCTTCTCACTACCATTAATGGTACATGCATGTATAATGAACAACTCCCACACCAAAGAATTGCTTTTCTCATTAACAATTTCCAATTAAATCCCGGAATTGAGGGCTAGGGAGTAGAATATTACGTCTAGGA